AGGGGCGGCGGGGCGGTGTGGGGTCGCAGGATGGTGAGGGGCGGCGGGGCAGGGGACGCGACGGGGGAGGCACCGCCAAGGGAGGGCCCGCTCTGACCCAGCTCCTCTTTGCTCTCTGCCCAGATGCTCTCGCGGGCCAAGCCGGCCGTGGGGGGTACCCCGCCTCCGGGAGACAGGCGGAGGAAGAAAGGGAAGGAGGTGCCACAGTTGGAAGAACTCTTGGCCCAGAGAGACTTCACCGGCGCGATCGCCTTGCTGGAGGTGACGAGCTCCCCTTGGGAGAGTGGTATCCCAGCATCCCTGTGCCCTCAGGGCAGCGGGGCAAGAGCATCCCTTCCCCTGCCTTGTGACCCTCTCGCTCTCCTGGGGCCCTGCAGCAGCATCTATTGCTTCCCGCTTCACAGAGCTGGGTTTGGCCTGTGAGGGCTGCCTGCTGCTGCCCTCCGAAGTGTGAAAGTAGCTCCATCCCAGTAGCATCCATAGCTGTCAAACCATCCGCGGTATATGATAGCCTAGTATTGCTTTGGTTATCAGTGGGGTTTTAGAAACTGTGGCAGCTGACTAAATTCTTACATTCTTTATTCTCTACAAAGTTTAAACAGCACGTGGGTGAGGAGGAGGAGGAGGATGGCAACCTTTGGGTCGGATACTGTGCATTTCATTTGGGTGACTACAAGAGAGCTCTAGAGGTAAGGTGGGGAAATCCTGCTTCCCAAGGTTGGAAATTGGGATGTCGTGGTAAAGCAATGACAACAGGAGGAAGATGGTCTATAATAGGGGTCAGTCCTGCTAGCCAGTTAAGGTACAAATGTACAGTAATAAGGCAGATATTGTGGAAAGCAGTTTGGATTGGGAAAAAAAAAGGTATTTTGCCTATGAATATGGAACTTTTTTATTGTTAGGTACTTGCTTACTTGATACTAGGCTCAGTAGCTTAATTTGTTCTGTTAGTGTCAGTTCATGTCCTAAATCCATTATTCCCTTTTTTCATCTAGATTTCCACTGTTTCATTTTTCAGATTTAATAATGTTTCTGTCTTCATTTTGTAGCTTATCTGTGATAGGTATGAAAAAATTCTTTCGTTAAGGGTTGATGCCCATGACCGTTTCATGTCCTTTATGGCTTTTCTTTGCATTTTTATTGTATTAGGTAATTCAATTACATGAAGCAGTCTTTTTTTCTAAAAGCATTAAGTCACTAAAATATATGTTAATTGTTCAAATATGCACATTTTAATGTTTGTCTCTTAGAGTTCTGTTGTGTCTCTTCACTGTGAAGTGTAACTGAAGTATAGCAGGTTTTGCAGTCTTTGGACTTGCTTTCCCCAGAATTAATATTAAAAACAGATGTTAAAGTATTAACAAAAGATAATAAAAAGAAAATAAATAGATTATAGAACAGTGATGATATTTTCTCTCTTACAGAAATGATCACATGCACAAGATGCACGCATGAGATGGAAATTGTAAAGCTTTTAAGAAAGGCACAAGGCACTGTGCCCTTTAAAAATTGAGGAGGAAAACATCTGTTGGAGATATTAGAAATGCTCAGTGAATCAAATTGACAGTATGCACAGTATAGAATATAGACTAGCAGTACAGGACATCATGGTAAATTAATATTCATGTTTAGACTTGTGGAATTTAAATATTATGAATACAACAATGAGTCACTGTAGTTAATTTACATCTAGGCATTAGATGTTAGTAGGGAGTGAAAGTTTAAAAAGAAGAAAAGTGTTCATATACAAATGAAAAATAACTTGAAACGTCTTTGAAATAAATTCTGCTTTTTTTAAATACCCAGTAGATGCTTTTATAGCCAGAGTAGATTTTACATGTTTCCTTCAACGAAAAGTCAACTGCTTTTTTTTAATGTTCCTAATTAGTTTTTGCATGTGGTGTTTGATTCACCACTAGGTGATGCTCTTGACTCAGGCTTTTTAAAACTGCAACATAGTCATCTTTTTCCCGTTTTTCTGCCCAAGAAGGGACAATAAAAGATTTGTATGAGTGATTTGTAGTTTGTTTGTATATGTTTTGAGTGAGAGACCATAGGGCTTGTCTTTCCAGATTTAATACTGCTTTTTCTCACAGAGGTAAGTCCTGATAGTTTTATCCTTTTGTGGTGATGTGGGAAATGAGCCTATGCATCTCAGCCTAGTTTCTTTGGGGACAGAACACTCTAGTTTTAATTTCTAAGGCTGTAGGTCTCATTGCACCATGGAGACTGAACTGCCTTTCAGTTACCAACTTCCATTTTGAAATGTAAAATGCTGTTATCTCATCTGCTATGTTACAGAGGTGTTGTTACTGTATTCTCAAGGACAAATTCCTTGATAATCTGTACCCTTGAGATTTTAGAGCACTCTTTGGGGAGTGCCAAAACACTGTAAATAAAATACTATAGGTCAAAGATTCTACAGAATTCTCCAGAGACATTGCACACAACCTAAATTATTTACATTCCTGTGTGTTCCTGCAAGTGACAACGCATAATCTGTGTCACTATATTCATAGTTCATGGTTTATATTCCATGTACCTGATGAGAATCTTCAGAAATCACACTGTTCAATGCTTTTATTAATGATAATACTTTCACAGTGAGCCAAGCGTGTTGGTTGCATAGCAAATTTTGGAGAAGCTTGGGAATTGTGGTGAGGTGGCCGTTATGCACAATGGGGAGAAATGGGGAAGAAGTGAGAAACACACAGATGTCCAGCTCCAGAAATATCTCCAGACAGCAAAATCTCTGTCACATTCATGTGAGAGAATTCACATTTTCTTATCACAGGTACCCCAACAACAGTTAGGTATCCTCTAGGTAGTGCATTAACCTCAGCCTCACTAGGGTCACAGTTTCCCTTAACAGCAGATGCCTTTCTCAAAGGTTATGCCACTGACACTGGTCTGGTGGGGTCATCCCTACTGCTGTACCCCAGTTTACAAATGGTATTGCAATGGGATTGACTCTTCATAGTGCAGTTCTTTCTTGGAGACTGACTAGCTACCTTCATGGACAAACTTATTTTTACTGGGTAGCTTATGTCTCCCTGGCATCATATGGCAAGTAGGGCTTCCCTAGAATATGGTGACATCTAATTAGTTTCCTGGAATCTCCCACATCTAGTATCCATAATGGGGAAAAACCCATCTGTCTTTCTGCAGCAGCTGCCATTTGTTCATAGCTCTAATCTTAAATCTTCTGAAAAATTTGTCAGTGTCACCAAAGAACTAGAAATTAGGCCAATTATTCTGTTTCTGAGCTGCCTGGTCTTACAAATTGAAGCAGCTGTGGCCTTAAGAAAGTGAGGGTTTATTATTATTATTTTATGTATCTATATATCTATATGTATCTATATGTGTAGATAGATAGATAGATAGATAGATAGATATGTATATACAGAAGTATATTTTTAAAAATTTATGAGACAATTGGCACGGGCAGATGTACTTCTTGGTTGGATTCAAGAACAGGTTTCACACTTGCAGCCTGTACTCTCTCCCTCTGGGCACACAGGATGCTGGCATGGTGCAGCTGCTGGACATGGTAATGCCATTTTGGTCCATCAGTTGCACGCACGAGAGCAAAGAATGATCCCTGGGCCAGAGCCTTCAGTGCGTTGTTTCTGTCAAAATCCTAAACCTACATACAGCCAGTGACAGTATCTCCAATCTGCCACCTCTCTCCTGGCAGAGAAGTTGGAGCCATTCCACCACTTCACTGAACAGGACCTCCTGCCAGCTTGGCTCAGAGTAATTTTAGTCAAATAGTAAATCATGGAAAGAGCAGAGCTGTACTAGGTAATTGTTCATCCATGAGCAGTGTCTGGTCGTGCTTGAGCAGTTCTGTGGGAAGTGTGAGAATACAGGTACACTCCAGTTCCCGACAGCTGAAGATAGAAAGTCAAATGTGGATTTTTTAGTTCTGGGAGTTCTCTAGGCGTCTCTATCATGACTGTAGCCAGGTTACAATAAGTATCTCATTTGAGCACCTGTGGAGCAGCCATTATATGTCGGCTTGTTTATTGGCTCATGTATTCATGGGCTTGGGGAATCCAGACAAGTAATAAGGGCATTGAGCTGGCCCTCCACATTGTCAGTATGTGTCCATAGTTGTAGGCAATCAACCTGGCAGCCTGCTTTTGAGGAAAACTGCTTGTGTCTAGTGATAGAGGCATGAGGAAGAGGAGAGTAAAATAACAAGGAGTTGTTGATGGAGCTGGATGGCAGAAGTATGCCACAGGTTGACTCTTAGGCCAGGTTTGAGAGTATTTAGGTGGTTTTTGTGTTTGTTGGTTTATTTGGAAAGGAGGGGGGAAAGTTCTTGTGAAGTAGTCATTGAGAGACTGATGTTGAATGGCTTTCAGTGAGGAAGAGTGCAATAGCACATAGTCCAGGTACATGGCTCGGAACGATAGGATAAGGAGCACTAATAGTCCTAATTTTTATTTACTGTTTCCATAGATTCACATTGGTACAGCTAGAACATCCTATATATTGCTTGCTTTGAATGGACAAGCCAGAACATGACTTGTGTTTATGCACTTTGTCTTTTCTAATTATGCTGCCTGAAGTCAAAAGAGACCTTTGGGTGCATTTAATCTGAATGAATTTTGAAAGAGCGTATCTCTCAGAGCTCCATGACAGGCCTACATCAAGATTAAGCTGGCCTCAGTAGGAAAGGTTGGCTCCTAAGTAAATGTTTTCTTTTAAAAAATTATTATTGTTATTATTAATATTATCATTATTATTAATATAAATAACAATGGTAATAATTATTATAATAATAATGTAATATTTATTTATTGAAAATGTTGTTGGACAGCTAGTCCCTGAAATACAAGCAAGACTGAGCTGGCTTTTAAGGGTGCTCCTTACCAGTATCTTCTCTATTTGAGAGTGCAGTTTACTTTTATTTGGCAACAAAAAAATAATTCATTATGCTTGCAAACTCTAACCTTATTGTTGCCACGATGTTTGTGATCTTGGGATTTGCTGCTCTTTGGGCATGGCTTATTTTATCTTGTGCTGTAAATATATATCTGTCCTTTTCCCCAGAGGTAAGAAGTCTCCCACCCACAGAGTCTCAATCTGCTAAACTTTCCCTATGTAGAGGGGACTTCCAATTCACATGTTTGGAGAACAAGTACAGAGTCAGTAAGGGGCTGTTTTGCTGGGAGGGATGAGCGGCTTGCAGTGATCTGGAGTACATGGATGACATTCCTTCAGCAGGTCTTGTGAGAACCTTATGTGACCCTGCCTGCTTTGCGTTATACTGCCTGTCTCCATGGCTGGATGAAGAGCAGGAGCACAAGCAGCAGGCACTTCCATTGGGAATTCCAAGGATAGTCCTTCCTTGAAATTCATCAGAGCTGTTACATAGGGAAAAAATGGCATTTGGAGATCTCCATGTCTCTGCTTTTAGTACCTGTTGTTGCTCTGACAAAAGATGCTTATCCTTAGGAATATAATTGTTAAGTGGCTGCAAAGTTTTTTTGTTTAAAAGAAGCAGATTGAAAGATTGATCTGTTAAGTTTTTGCTGTTTTCACAAATAATACAAAATGAAGCAGTTTGTGTGGCAGAGTTAAAAGATATGTAATGAATGTGGATGTATAAAAAATATCAGAATATATTATTTAGTGCCTTTATATAGCTGTTCGCTGTAAATCTTAAAATGGGGAATAGTAAAGTTAGGAACAGATTAATATTTACTGCAAATTATTAATCTTCATCTATAAGAAAGTCTTGAATATGCCAAATACCAATTTATAGGCTTGCATTTTAATGCAGTGGTCTCCAATTAATTTTGCTTTTTGTACCCCTATTAGTAAAAAATTTTTGAGTACACACCCCCAATGTATATACACATATCTATACATTTATAAATTATATACATGTTCCACTCTACTAATACGCAATTATAAAAAATACACAAAAATAGGAACTAAAAAAAGGATGTGATAAAATTAAACACTATTTTAAAATACTTATTTTAGTTATTAGTAGTACAAAAAAAATTTTCTTCCTGCACTTGGTTATTATCTTGCATAACCTCAGACTTAACACACACTTTCACAGGTTTAATATACACTAAGACACCATCTACACATTTACAAAAACACATTTAACAGTAAGTGCTCGCAAGGAGATATCCCTGGTGCTTATGGCTGCCAGGCTTTGACTGGAGGAGAACTTAGGGAAGCAACAGAAGCTGGTTATATTGATGCCTTTGTAACTTACATATATTGGGGCTTATATATGTAAATAATATTTTTATAATAATATATTTACAATACAAATGTGTTTTATATCTCTCTAACTTCAATGTTGACAGAAATTGCACTTATATGTGATGATTTATGGCACTGCTTGTCTCTGTGATCTGTTATATTGCTGTAAACAAAAAAGTAGGGACATAGCTTAAAACATAATAGTTTTGTTGTAAAGACTGCATGGTTTGTTCCCAGTAATTTAATGATACATTTTAAAATTGTGGAAGAAGGAATGATATTTAATACAAGAATGTGTTATTACACACTTTTTAAACATCAACCCTCTGTTCTGTTACAGGAATATGAGGCTTTAACCAAGCAACCAACTTGTAATCCAGATGTTTGGGTGAACCTTGCTTGTACATACTTCCTTCTGGGGATGTACACACAAGCAGAGCAAGCAGCTTTGAAAGGTGAGATGTATGCTTCTGTTGGAAAAGACTGCTTATTAATTTGAACACTTAAAGTAATTTCCAGACAAAGTATGCAGTAAAGGATTTTGAGCAAAGTTTTTTGGGTTTGGTATTTTGTTTGGGGGCTAGTTAATTTTAACTTTCATTTAACAGGAGAATTATGATGCAGTTTCCTTCCTAAAAAAATATCTTGGGCATATGGAGCAGCTGGAACTAAAAGAAGCATCTGGAAAATTAATTTATCTTACCAGTTTTAAATATAAAACCCAGCATATGCCAACCAGCAACAAAAGGTTACATTTCTTTTGACTGATTCTGTGTCCCTCAGCCAGCACAGATGAAGCAGATTAAGCCAGTGAAATTATAAAAAAATAAGCATCTGAGAGAATTCAGCATTCTCCCTGATAAAGACAAGAGCTCTGTTTACGGAGTTTGAGTGACTTAGTAGGTGGTCTCGTTGCCTGGTAAGTCACATGTTAGGTATCTGATTCTTCAAGGCATGGAGCTCAATAGTCACATTATTACAGTTCTACTTTAATCTGTACATGCATGGGATCATTTAAAGAGAAAGAACGGAAATTAGATTCCAGGGAAATTTTTACTGCCTAAAAATGTTTCTGTAGTTTAATTTTGTTGTCCATCACTTTTTATGTATCTTAGTTATTTATATTGTTTTCTATAACCATAGTATCTCAGTGCTTTTTAAGTAGAATTAATAGTAGTGATATCTCACTCAACTTATGACTCTTGCCTTCTTAGGGGAAAACTCTTGCTGAAGGATTGTTTTCTCCTTTCTTTCATTCGTCTTCTTGTCTTGGGCTGAAAATAGGGTAGGAAGAAAATATTCAAGTACTTTCTTCTGCTGCAAAGGAGAGCCTTTCAAAAGGACAGCTTTGTAGCATTTTTTAAAAATAATTAGGTTCCCATATCCCTTTAAAATCCTTGTAAAGATCATGCTGCGCTTGAATCCCACAACTGGAAATGTTTTTTTATTTTCAGTTGTAAAAAATCTCATGCAAAGCTTTGTGATTTGTATTGCTCAAGAGGTGTGTAAATTTCTAATATTTACAAATAATTTAATCTTTAATGTACCAAAAATTTGAGCTTTGGAGATTGCAACCTAGGACTTGAAGTGAATCTAAAAATAAATGGGCAATAGAGCTTTGAGGTGTCACTGTGACCTATAGCATGGAGGAAGCAAGCAGCTGCATCCTGTACGAGTTGGAGCCATTGTCACCAGCTTCACTTCTTGTGAGTTACAGTAATCCATTCTAGAGATGACATATACACAGCTGGGCATGCACATTTATTAACTGTGAGCTGGAGGTGTGGGAAGGTTAATGTTTGTCATGCCCCTTCAGATTAATTAATAGTATGGTGAGTGGCAGAGTAAGGGGCACAGTTAGTGGTACTTGGGTGCTGGAGGCAAGAGTAGGAATATTAAGAAAGCAAGGGTGGGAGGCAGTGTAGCTAAAGGAAAATAAGAAAATAACTGAGTGGTCACATTAGTTCAGTTCTTCATTTCATGTAATTCTTTAAGATGGACAGCATGCCAGGTTTATAATGAAGTGCTCAACCTTTCTTGTGTGTACTGTAATCCTTGATTTCTGGCTACTTAACCTTGGTGAGGAAGCAGTCACAGCTGAGGATTTTTAGCACTTGTCCTTTCTCCACTGAAAGCTTCCAAGTGTGGTATATCCCCCTTTCAGTCATTCTTATATTGAGTTTAAACCTTTTTATTTTTCTTAAGTCAGATGCTCTTTTAGTTTTTTTTATCAATTTAGGATTGCATCAGTGGTGGCTGCTTGCAATGTATTGTTGACAGCTGAGACCATATAATCTTGTGCTCTCTTCCATGGTTTTGCAAAGATCTTGAAGGAGCAAAATACTTCCTTTGAACAGGTAAAGTCTCTAGAAGAACACCATTTATCCAAAACTGCCTTGAATACCACTGAAAAAATGATAGGTAGTGTTAATATTGGACTGCTTACTATTGCTATTTTGGGATTATTTTGCCTGAATTCTTGTATAGTACATGCTGTTTATTGCTGCATTATGCTAAATCTCTGCAGGTAGCATACTGCTAAAACAAATGAAGGACAACTAATTTAGTTTTAGCTATAGTTCTAAATTTCTACAGTGACAGAATCTCTATGTGAAAGGGAACATCAATATCAGCTAGCTTTCAGGAATAGGTTTTCCACACGAACATGTAAGTATCTTGAAATCAAATCAAGTTATTTCTTGACATATACTGTTGCTGTTGCTTAAGGAAATTATTGTTAACCATCATTCCATTAATGAGGAAAAATTTGCAGGATACTTAAAATTTAGGAAACCATCACTAAAAACCATGAGGTGATTAATGGATTCATATATAGTCCACAATCTCTTGTGGGGCAAGAGATTATTTTATAATAAAGAGGTATACAAAATATATCTATTTCTTATATCTATATAAGATATAAAAGAGATTTGTTTCTCTGCTCTAGTGACACCCTACATGAAGGGCTACATCCAGCTCTGGAGTCCCCAGCATATTAAGGACATGGACCTGTTGGAGCCAGTCCAGAGAGGCCATCAAAATGATGAGAGGGGTGGAATACCTTTCCTACAAGGAAAGGCAAAGAGAATTAGATTTTTCAGCTTGGAGAACAGAAGGCTTCAGGGAGACCTCACTGAGGCCTTCCAGTACCTAGATAAGGTTTACAGGAGAGCTTAACAGGAATCATTAACGCAGGCATGTAGTGATAGGACAAGGACGAATGGCTTTTAACTGAAAGAGAGTAGGTTTAGATTAGATACAAGGAAGAAATACTTTACTGTGAGGGTGGTGAGGGGTTGCCTAGAGAAGTTCCATCTCTGGCAGTGTTCAAAGTCAGGCTGAATAGGGCCTTGAGCAACCTGGTCTAGTGGAAAGTGTTCATGACTACAGCAGGGAGGTTGGAATTAAATATCTTTAAGGTCCTTTCCAGTCTAAGCCATTCTGTGATTTTATGATTCTCTCAGGAAAGAATGAGTCTGAATATCAAAAGTCATATAAAAAAGAATTACTGCAAATATAACCTAAGAAGTAGAGCAAAAAAGCAATAAAGAAAAATCCCTCCTTGAAGGTTTTTCATTACAATTGTATTTTACCTCCTCTAGGCTTTCTTCCAAATTCCTTTCAGGTATTTCTGGCTTCTCCTTTTCCCCTGTTGTCCGCTCACATTGCAGTTACTAATGTTCCTAATTCTGAGGTGAAGGTAGAGTTACTTCCAAGTCAGCTACTGTTGTTTTGTAGTCATCACATAGTGAAGCTGCCAAGTGATGCTTTGCTGGCTCCTTTTGTATCTGTGTTCTCATACATTGGCTGAAAATATGTTTCCTGTGCTGTGGGTAGCCAATCTTTTCTTGAGAGAATGAGCCTTAAACTATTGATCTTGATTTAGTATACAATAATAACAACAAATTATTATTTTTTTTCATTATAAAAACTAAAACGCTTATGTTGCATTCACAGTTCCTGTGCCTTGCAAAGGCCAAAGAACAGAAACTCAGTCTGGCACATTTGGACTGTGATCCTGGCAACTGATCCGAGTGTTTAGAAGCCTGCATAGTGGTCTCAGAAGCTGTTGGCTTGCATTAAGAAAGAAACTAAGAACTAAAGCATAAGAACTAAAATTGTTCTTTTAAACCACAAAATGTGCACATAAGTGGGGCTGCAGTTAAGTCTGTTATGAAAAACCGTCTTTTCAGGATAAATGGAATCTTACAATTAAATTTAAGATTCATGCACAAACAGGGTTGTATTGCTGAACCATTCATTAAAGTTGGGGTCTTTTTTAATTCCTTCCAATTTTTGATGGGAAGAGCTTTCTGATTACTTTGCTTTTTCATATCTCTGCATGTGTCAGACCTGAATGTGCTTCAACTGAACAGAGAACTCATTTTACAACCTATATAAAAAGGAGCAATACTGTACAAAAGCAGAACAGAGATGGGTTAGTAAGAACAATGACATTTTCCAAACCAGTTTCCAAACCACCGTTATTTGTGAAATAATATTTTTCAGGTGTGAAATAGTTATCACCAATTAAAATGTTCAGATACGAGCAGGCACAGAACAGTTACTGGGTTTTCCTTTTCTTAGGGTTGCATGTTCACCTACATGATTTTATCTGCCTTGTTGCTTGTGCTCTGTTTCTTGAGAACAGTAGTTATTTTTGGTGCATTTTAGCTGAGGTTTCAAACCAGCTGTTTCATATATGAAACTCTCCACAAGTGAAAATATCACATGTTTAAACTCTAAAAGCTACTAGCCGTATTTTCTTGTTTTGTTTTTTTAAGTATAGTGGAAGCTACAGCCCAGGAGTAATTAATTTGATGATCTTTAATTTACTGTACTTTAATTTCAGTATGACTGAAATTAAATGTGTGCGAGTTGCAAGTAACTGAACATAACTGAATTGTCATTTAAGTTTTGTGGGAATGGGAAAATTTCAGTGAATATCCACTGTAAATTTCATTCAAGAAAATTGTACAGTTGAGCTGTCAAGTGTGTGTAAGTGTTAACCTCACTACTGGACCATGGGGTTTTTTTGAACATTTTTCCCATTCTCTTTCATTTTCCCTTCCACCAGTGAAACTTTGGTTTTGAGTTACAGAGGGCTTCATTCACCTACTATGTTCAGATGAGCAGAGTGTTGTTTCTCAGGGACAAGGAGAAAAATGTTTCCTCTGGTCATGTTTTCTGCTGTCATGATAGAGCCTTCTAAGCCCTGCTCCATTCTTACCAGCTCCTGCTACGTGTGTTTAACATGTGTTCTATGCCTGTTGATGGATGAAGGGCTGCTATAGAATATGTAGTATGTGCTAGATGAGATTTGTTAATGCTGGATGCACTAACAAAGAAGTGCCTTGCGCTCTCTTGAGAGAGCACAAATGCCAGATTGCCCATGTCTGTATTTCATCATCCTTTTAGTGCCTGAGACAGCCATATAGAACCCACCAAGAGTCTGAGCTGCCATTTCTAGTGAGTTTGATGTTTTGTTTTATAATTAGTGAAGACATTTTCTTCATTCTTACTGTAGTTGCTTACTCTATTTTAAGAAATACTTCAGTAGGTGCCTGTCAGTGTCAGTACATAAAAATATGCAGAACACTTTTAAGATCTATGACAGCTATGATGCTAGTGCCTGGGAAAAGAGCACTGATCATGATAAAATTTCTGGCAAAGGAGTATCAGTGCATTTCCTAGGTAGAAAGAGATATATCCTGATCAACTACTTCAGTGCTTGAGTACAAGGCTCGTACTAGACCTGGAGCAGGCTCCAGTTTGTTGCCATACAGCATTGTAATCATGCACATTATGATCCCAAGATTGCTTAGTACTGATTTTAACAAAAAAAATAAATAAATTGTAGTCATTGTTTTGAAAAAGTAGAACAGGAAAAGAAGATTGTGCTTCCTTATAGCATTAATAGATCAGTGACAATGAAATTCAGTAGCAGCAGAGAGTAATAAAAGAGCAAACTAATGTCCCTTAAATGTCCCTTAAAAATCATTATCTCTGATGAGACAGTTGTATCACTTCCTGCTCCAGTGACTGACAACATCTTTATCCAATATTCATGATCCCATTTTTTCTGAAAACTAATCTGACCTTGTTCATATGTTTTCTTGTCTTCCTCAAAGAATGCATTTGGCACCAAGAGAAAATAAGCTGCTGATGTTGAATGTTTCCATATTTCTGCCTACTGTAGTGACAGGGCTTTATTTGTGTGGGGTTACAAGCAACTTACTTTGAAGAATATCAGATAGCTAGTACTATGTTATATCTTATGAAGCAGGACACTTTTCCACCATCCATATATTCATGCACGGCATCAAAACTCAGATTTCATATTTCACTTGTTTTTAGGTGTTAAATAATGTGGGCTAACACTCCAGCTTTTACCAAGAAGTAAATAATAATTTTGATCTCAGATCAGATGCCAGATTTGCAAGGGCAGCCTGCACTCACTGGTTGACCAATGAAACAAAAATTCCTTGGATTAGATTCTTGACAAGTATTGCTTGCAAGTCACAATTTTCATAGTGAAATTAATGCTAAAACAAACTCAAAAGGGGAAAAAAAAAAAGGAAAGCCTACTCAAAAAAGGAACATTGGTGTCTTTACCCATAGTACTGTGATTATACAATATGTTATTTTCAGTAGAAATCCCACAATCTGTCTTGCTTGTATTTTTGGAGTCTTTGATGACCAAATGTTTTGAATTGTGAAGGATGGTTGTGGTTGAAGTTTCTTACAGAAGTGTATGTAGGGTCCATGTGCAACTCTTCTAAACTTTGATATTAAAACCTATCAATTACTGCTGGGGAACATGTAGAGCATGCATTTAAATTAAGGTACTCTCTAAGTCAGTGGATGAAATATCCATACTATTGTGTCAGTTATACTACTACAGCTGCCTATGCAATATTTATTGTAGTTATTGTATTTATTATCAGAAAAACTTTCTGTTCTTTAATAAATTGCCTAATTTCCGCATGTATCCTAGACTGAAGACCATTTAGCTTCTTAACAACTTGATGCTCTTTTAGAAGTACCTTACAAGATGCTGCGGTCTTGTGAGAGTGCTTTCATACCACCTTTGTATTTTGGACTTCTGTTCTAGTATTTCTTTAAATATACAGTTCACTGTCCTCATTTTTCTAGGAACATGGTTAAATAACACAGCTTGCTAAAGACAAAAGTGAAGAAATGGTTGCTGTACTTATTAGAAGTAGGTGGCCAGCCTTGTGCTGCCAATCTGATTAGAATGACGCCTGGGTTTTGGCACTGTTACTTTGTGTTACAAAGTTTACTTACTATGTGGAGAAAGAGTAAGAAACCTGGAAATCTCTCCCTAAATTGCTTTAAAAAAAAAAAAATTCCATCTTCAGGGGGTGGTGGGGAAGAGGGAATGGTGGTTTGAGCCCTCTTATGGTTTAAGATGTCAGAAGAATTACAGCCTTGTGTTACAGGCTATTGCTGTGCTAACTCTGCACTTTTGTGGCCTTATAAACACAGTAAGTAATTCTGCTTTTTGTAAAGATTCCATGTACACCCCTTCTGTGGAACATGCTTTGCCAGCTGGTTGGTCTGAGCAAGAATGAGAGTGCTCATTAGGCTAGGAAAAGTACAGGAAACAAGGGAAGGCTTTTTGGAAGATTGCTTGCAAAAGAAATGAATAGCTCTGTTCGACAAGGACGTTTGCCGCTCTCAGTGAAGCAAAAGGCTCTAGTGACTTAAAACACTGCAGTTTACAATTTGTGTCATATGGAGTGAATTCAATGAAATTCCTATTCCTGCAAGAGCAAAAAAATTCATTAATTTTGCTGGCTCTAGTAAAAAGATATCCCCCTTAAATCTCTTGCCGTATCTTAGTTTGAATCTTATCTGCTCTGGCCATAGAATTCTTTTGTGTGCCTTTCATTCCTAAGGACAGAAGGAATATTAGAAGTATAATGTAATGTGCATGCCTAACAAAATGGTAGCAGCACTCAGTTTTTCAATACACTAGAAGTTGCTGAGATTCCTGGAATTATAAATCAAAACTTCTTTCAAATGTGACACATCACAGAAGGATCCTTGAGTTTATCTACTGCTGCTTTTTGTTTTAAAACAAAAAATGTGTCACAAAAAAATCCTCAGAAAATTATCAAGAAATCACTGCAGGAAAATGATAATGCAATTTATAGAAGTTTTAAGGCTCATGGAAGGTAGAGGCCAAAGAAAAATTATTTTCAACATGGATTTAAAAAGAAATAGTCAGGGAATGAGGATAAGAATGAGGAAGACCTCCAAACCACTCTCAAATTGGTAGAACCTCCCCCAGCTCATGACCTGCAAAGGGCTCTCAGTGAAGAACTGTACTTGGGCTAGTTAATGAAAGAATAGGGATGCATTCATGTCTATTGAGAAAAAAAAGTTAAAAATATAAAGACATAGCCTGTGAGTAGTTCATTATATTAATACTTACTGAATTTCCCTTTCAGCACCTAAGAGTGGTCTCCAGAACCGTTTACTCTTTCACCTGGCACATAAGGTAGGATGTCTTTTTCTTCACTCCTGCTTTGTTTGTTTTCTTTTCAGTTTGGTAATGTGTAATTTATGCTGGCAGCCTGGCAGAATAATTAAAATGCCTGTGGTGGCAGAAGAACAAACATTTTTCATAACCACCCTACTGTATCAAAATGTGGAGGAGAAAGCAAGTATGAAAACATGATCTCAGAATAGATGTTCTCAACATGTTTCTAAGGAAAGTATTACCAATACACTTCACATAAGTCATACAATAGGAATGTAATGGTATTTTTAATGATGAAGAGCATGAAACCTTAATGGCCTCAGAAATGTAGAAGCCACTATTTTACTTTTTTTTTCCTAAATGTACCAAGTTTTACTAACTTGCACGTCTCTTATATGTAGCAATTTTACCAAAATGGTTTATATGCTATTACTGATCCTCTTAAGTAGTTCAGCATCCAGGAAATCATACTGTTAATAGCATGAAATTTAATTTAATTTCAACAACAATTAAGTGCTTATTTCACTTACCACACATAGCTATCTTCCCTTAAATTAGGCTTTGTACCATCCTGTACAGAATACTTGAGAAGTATTCTGCTACTAAAAGCATTGCCTTAAAAGGAAGTATAAATCCTGAATGTTAGCTTTGATGTCAGATTCTCTTTATTTAAATATGTTAGTCTTAAGAGAGAAATCTTAAAGCATTTTTGCAGTGGCATTGCCACTTACAGATATCTGTGATGAGCTAGGAATTATGCAACTTCTCTTTATCTAGTTAGTCACTGGAAATACAGGGTTTTAGCAAAATGATGAAGCCCATTGCCTTTAGTTCTGTTAAGCAGCCTTTTAACATCATGATTGGTTCAAAGAAGGAGAAGGATTTGAAGAAAACTAGCAGTTAGGTGGTAAAACAAATATATAATACTAGAATTTGTGTCTAAGAGAAATTTATTATTACTGTTGAATCAGCAAAATCAGCAAAAGGAAGTCATGGAATAAGTGATTTGAACAGACTGATTAGGTAAATAGCCTCAACTTCACTGTTGTAATACAAATATAGTGAGTATGTTTAACTCTTCCTTGTTTTTAGGAAACAAAACAAAACTTTGTGTGTGTTTTGTGTGCTATGCAGCAATGCTTTTAAAAATGAGTCCAATGGAAATTGGAGGCTGGTGAAAGTGAACTTGGTTAGTGCTGTAAAGGAGACATGTAAAAATTAGGACTTCTGTGTTTGCAAATCTTGTGTTTTTCTGCTATTCATGAGACATTAGATTTGGATCTACAAACAGCAAAATTTTTGCTGGCTTAAATAATAGCAGTGAAATTTTGTGTTGTGAAATTCTGTTTGTGAAATAATTAATTCAGCTCTTTCCCTCTTATCCATCAAAGCACATGACATGCAATTATATCTAGATCACACCTTAAAGGAAAATATGTGCTTAGTTTTAGCCTAACATTTATTCAGTTTGAACTCATCTGCCTCTTTAATGTTTGTATTTCTCCACTGGTCAAATTAGCTTTAAAGTAACAGTGGTTTTCCAGATATTTAATGCTGTTTACCAGCAAGGACAAAACTAACCTGGTTAATTAAAAAGCTTTTCTTGTTGAACTCCTCTTTGTCCCACTCTTTGTAGTTCAGTGATGAAAAGAAACTGATGAGCTCTCACCAAAACCTGCAAGATGTTACAGAAGATCAGCTTAGCCTGGCATCTATCCACTACATGCGGTCCCATTACCAAGAAGCTATTGATATCTACAAGCGCATTCTGCTGGATAATCGGTGTGCATCTCTGAACCCTATTGGAGCAACAATGTTATTGGTGGTGTTTAAATTCCAAATAGTTACTTGGTTTCTGAAAGCAGGCATTTTCCACAACTACTATGTCCCTTTGCTGTCCCAGAATGTGCATCAGTTGCAGGTCCTCAATTTTGTTCATTCAAAGCATTATTAAAACCCCCACGTCTAAAAATAAGTCTGCTCTCTTTTTCTTTCTGTGAATTGTTGGTTAATTTGTTCTGATATCTTTTTTATTTTGTTACTTATTTCTTCTGAAATAATATATAGTATGTACTGTTTTGTCCTTTATTTTTTCCCTTCTGAGGGCCAGTCTTGTAACTTTGCTTGAATTATTTACTTTTCCTTCACTTCTTAGCCTTTCTAAGAAGGTTTCAGTTCTTGAGTTTTATGTAGAGTTCCTTTCCTTTTCAGTTTATCCTCTATGGCACTTGTTGATGGGGTTTTCTGTCATGTTCTGCAAATTTTTAGTTCAGAATTTAACAATCAACAAATTGAATTCTTAAGTGGCTGGAAGTATTTTTAATAAAATAGAAACTACCATCCCAGAATACTGCTGTCTTTTGGCACTATCTCCTCTTGAATGTTTCAGACAAATCCATCATAATGCATATATCATGTAATGCTTGGGAAAGAGATTTTATCTTCCAAGTCCTGCAGAAACAATCACTCAAAGTATGAGTGACCTTCATAACAATTATCCTTTTACTTACAGTTTTCACAAATGCTTGTCTTTTCTCTGTCTAGTTCCTCAGGCTTGACTGCTTGTAATGACAAGGATTTTTTGAAATAAGTGTACTCAGTACAAACTTTTATGTGCATATTAAATGTCTTTGAGCATACTGCTTAGAAAATCATGTTCTGCCAGGACAATTACAGTGCTCATGTTCTGCATGTTTCCTTGGTGTGAAGTTGCCACTATTTCCCAGATTTGCAAACCAAAAGTTTTGTTGGTAATTCTTAAAAGCTGCAGTAGCTACTGTGGAAAAAAATACTGTGCATCTATACTAGCTGACCAACTAGAGAAGCCCTCAGCATTTCTCAGAAACCCCAGTTTTGATGTGTTTGTAAAATACATATAAATGTGAGAGCTTTCTTTTTATATATAAAATTTTAATATGCTGTAGTGGGAAATGTTAAACTATCTGGTAGGATTTAAGGGTTCACTTTAATCCTCTTTCCTACAGGGAATACCTGGCTCTGAATGTATATGTGGCCCTGTGCTATTACAAACTGGATTACTATGATGTGTCACAGGAAGTGCTAGCTGTTTATCTTCAGCAAGTTCCTGACAGCACCATTGCTCTTAACCTTAAGGCTTGTAACCATTTCCGACTTTACAATGGAAAGGCTGCAGAGGTATCTATTGGACAGTCCTTCAATTCACCTTTATTTTAGTTTAAGATTCCATACATGTTTATTTTCCTTTGTCTTAATCAGTAATGTTGATAATGGTCTTTACCTTGTCACTGTGTCCTTTTAGGAATGTCACCTATTTCTGTTTCCCTGGTATTAACCAATCTCTCCACATATGTGCAAAGTGTTCTTACTATCTTCCCAGTATCCTTTTGATCTTGTGTTTATATGTATTACCCAGTTGCTAAAATAATTAGATAGAAGTGGAAAGGCAAAATCTTCTAGTCATCCAACACCAATGGAGATGTCTTACTGTCAGCTTTGAAGCTCATTTGAAGCTCCACTTAGGCGTCTGTTCTTTTATGGTTTTATGTTAAAATTTTGGAATGTATGTAATTCCAGGCAGAGCTCAAGAACTTGACAGATAGTGCCTCATCATCTTTTGAGTTTGGCAAGGAGCTCATTAAGCACAATCTGGTAAGTAATTTCTGGGACTTAATATGAACTCCACTCTCTTGTAGAGCTTTTCATGATGATTCATAAAATGGAGTATTTTGAAAAATTGCAGACTTAATTGAGTCTCTGCTGCCATATAAGTCCTGTTCCAGGAATCCTACCAGTATAATGAATGTGCCATCAAGTGTATTTACTTTTTTCCTGGAATTTTTCCCTGACATTTTGAGACTGTGTCAAGAAAACAATAATACTGATGCTTTTAGTTTTGAAGGCATATTAAAATAATGTGTGTTGTGTAAGTGTCCCTTTGCAAGATACTTTGTGGAGTCCACTCAATAAAGACACTGTAGAAACAAGTCATGATTCCCTTCAGTGGTATTATTTGGCTGAACAACTGGTAACAGTAGATTGCTCATGTTTAATGAGGGGCAGTTACTTGCTTTGTCATTTTTCAAGGCAGTCATCACAAACTAACACTTCTTTCCCCAAGAGTTAAAACTCCTTTCAAATTGGATTTTTGTAAATTAGCATTGTTTATTTTGTATGTTGGTATTTCTGCCAGTGCTTTATTGAATAAGGACATTTGGAGGAATTGTCATGTGAAACTGGAGTATAATTGCCTGCTCCTGATCATTTTAGGATCCTGTGTCATTCTAAATGAATGTTGAGTTGTTAGCCTAATTTTTTTTCATATAAAAACATCATAAGCAGTATCTAGTTTTTATGTGTTCCCTTCACTCAGACTTTGTTATTCTTTTAAATCTTTGCTATATAATGTATCACTCTTTTGAGATGCTAAAAGCTGAAATAAGTTAATGTTTATGTATGGATTAAATACTTATATTCTTCAGAGTAACAACTGTCACGCTGTATAATTCTGTAGCTATATTAAAGCAGGAATTAAGCTAATGCCAGAGCCACTGACCTTTTCCTACTGTTTATGTAGGAATTTAAGGATTAATTTCCTTGAATTAACTTATCATAGAAAAGATTCTGATACATGATTATCAATATGCTACTTTTCTCTGCAGGTGGTTTTCCGAGGAGGAGAAGGGGCTTTGCAAGTCCTACCTCCTCTGGTTGATGTTATTCCTGAGGCAAGACTGAATCTTGTGATTTACCATCTCCAGCAAGGTAAATACACCTTCCTCTGGCTCTTTCATAGCTTCAGGGATGAAATTAATTCATCTTATCTCAACTTATTCAATGCTTTTTTTCCTTTGCAGTAAAATGTAATTTATTTCACTTTCTGTTCCTCTGTAAAATAGTGAAGTATGAAAAAAAGTTCCAATGGCTTGCAGAGAAGGGCTTTAATACTGTGCACTCAAAAAAAGCCTACTTCAGCAAAG